CAGTAGTTCATCCTTACATATTGCAATGGTTCATCATAAAAAAGTTAAATGGTTGATAACCAAAAGTTGCAAGGTTTTATTTTAATCAGTTGCAACAATTCATACAGAAAATTGCAATAGTTCATTTAAATGGTTACAAAGACTTACTTGAATTTCCAACAATCATTCTCTATTCAAGTGTAATTAGATATTTACTAAATAAATAATACATATATAAAAATCTTTCATAAATTTAAAAGTTCACATATATAAAGAAATTTATGGTTTATATTTTTTCTGGTGCTTATCTACAAACAAATAATATCGTCAAAATAGTTCATATATTTGATTTGAAACCGAATAAGCGAAGCCAAATCAGAATTAAAAATATATAGAATTTTTTTTTAAAAAGATATTAAAATCATAAAGTTAATATAATATGTTAAATAATTAAACTACTCACATACCGAATTACCTCAATATTTTAAGATAATTTTGTAAGATGTTTTAAAATGCATACAATTTAGATACGCAAAATAGCTAAAAGACAATTCATTAAAAATATTCACAATTTTTAGAATGAAAGGATACACTATAGACAATTTGACAACCTCTTCCAAAATTTATTTAATTTTTATAATGATAAAACACTCTTTACATAATTTTATTATTTCTTATAAACCATTGCATTTTTAGGATGAAAACATATATCATTAGAAAAAATACATCTTTAAATATTTTAATAATTGTCTTTAAGACTAATTAAATTCTTTAGGATACAAAGACACATATTTTGACATGTTTTCGATTACCTAAGAATTATAAATTTTCTCTGTATTAATATTGATATTTTATATTATTCAACTAGATGGATTCTTAAAAATATATGGAACACTTAACCATATAATATGTTATTTATTAATTATTTTAATCTTTCATAAACCATACCTGTTTATCAATTAATTAAGAAATTAGTGACCATTCTTTTATTTGTCACCTTACGATCAGCAAAATTTGAGAACAAAATAAAAACAAATTCCAAACACTTATACAACCATTGCACTTGTTCGTTTATGTGTCAAAGTTTACAGAACCTTAAACTAACAACAAACAAGATTTCCATATTTACAAAAAAAAAGTATTCCAAAAACGTAAATGCTAGAATGCAACATTTTCAAATGTTGTGCTTATATACATGGTTATGAATGTACACTCAACAAAATGTATTATGTTTAAGCAACATGTACTTTCTAATCCAACATCATAATTCATAAATACATGCAAATCATCAATTTATGTATAAAATGTGCCGACCGTAAACTTGTATCATGAACATTCATTATACAGATATAACTTGAGTGTCGCTATCAAACTTTTTTATATAATTTACGTGTATGAAGTTATAGGACATGAATTATGTATTCATTGAATAAATATAATCAGAAATATAGTTTCGTTAGAAAGAACTTTTATTCTTCACTATTTTTTTAGATTAGTGAAATTTTTACTTGGAAAAATTCATGGACATATAGTATCTATATATTTTCAAAGTTCTATATGAATAATTACAAATTTTCAAGTTAAATATCTTAATAAATAGCCATAACTTTCAAATTATTTGCAATGAAAAGTGAAAATTTTCAAGTTAAAGTTAGTTTTTTTATGAATAGTCACAACTTTTAAATTAAAGATAATGAATAGTCACAACTTTTAAATTAAAGGTAGTTTATATTTATGAATAGTCACAACTATCCATTTATAGGTAATTATTTTAAATGATACATTTACATTATATATTTGAATAGACGCATTATTTTAAAAACACATTTACTATATAAATATTAACTATTTTTAGAAGTAACTAAAATTTAAATAGACGTACTATTTCAAAAAACAGTTTCATTACAAAAAGACATATTATAGAAAGACATCTTAGTATTTTTTAAATCGAATTTTTCTTTACAATAAAAAGACATAACCTTTAAGTTAGATGAGATACACAACCTTTGACATTAATTGAGATTTCTATTATTAATAGATGTATCTGTTGTAACTCTAAATTTAAACTAAAAAAAAATAGTTTCACAAGATTAAAATATATTGTTTTAAAAAGATAAGGCTTTTACAACTATTTTTATTTTTATTTTTATTTCATGTTGTAGCATCTATTCTATTAATATAGAAGTCACAACTTCAGTTCATGTGTGATTTTTTTTTGTGTTTGGACCGGACCATCCTTATAAAGTTTATTAAATTTTACAAATATATGATAAATATGATATCTTTTCATATCTTATTTTTATTTGAAATGAAAATAAATATCTGAAAGAAAATTCTAAATTTATTTTAAATATTTAGAAAATTATTTAATTAAAAATTTAGTTATCATCAAATATAATTAAAAATTAAATTCTTTTTCTAATTTATAAACCAAAAAATAAAAATTCAGTAAAATACTTTTAAAATTATAAAATTTTTTGCTTCTCTTTTATGTAGGTCTAACTTAATTTAATTTTCACATATATTTCAAATTAAAAAAATAAAAAAATAATGTAAATTTTAAAAATACTAATTTAGACATTTTATATTAATAATATTATAAATCACATAAACATTATTATAAAGTTAGATAATATATAACATCTATTCTATTAAAATAGAAGTCACAACTTCAGTTCATATGTGATTTTTTTTTTAGTTTGGAACGGACCATCCTTATAAAGTTTATTAAATTTTACATATATATGATAATTATGATATCTTTTCATATCTTATTTTTATTTGAAATGCAAATAAATATCTGAAAGAAAATTCTAACAAAATATTTTAAATATTTCGAAAATTATTTAATTAAAAATTTAGTTATAATCAAATATAATTAAAAATTAAATTCTTTTTTTTTTAATTTATAAAAAAAAAATTCAGTAAAATACTTTTAACATTATAACAATTTTTCTTCTCTTTTATGTAGGTCTAACTTAATTTAAATTTCACATATATTTCAAAAAAATGTAAATTAAATAAAAAAAATTTAGACATTTTGTAGTAATAATATTATAAATCACATAAACATTATTATAAAGTTAGATAATATATAACATTATATTAACTTATTGATAAATTTTATTATATAACCTACAGAATTTTAGTATTTAAAAAAAGTATTATGCTTTAATATGTATTTAATTATCATTTATAAAATAAAAAAAAATATCATCTTTGATTTATTTTAGAATCATAGCCTATCATATTAACATAATTATTATATTGAACTAAATATGATAAAAATTAAATTAAAATGTATATTAATATATTTTATTTTCATAGATATAAATATTTATGTTAAAATAATATAATATGTTTTCAAAACAGATTAACATACTACACTAAATAGTACATGTATACAAATTAACATATCTATACACAACAATATATTATTTAAAATTATTAAGCATAAATAAATAAACATTTGGTTGACAAAACAAAATAAGAAATAAATCTTTAAATATATGACTAATATTAAGAATATATATCCATAATAACGTAAACAAATATATATATATATATATATATATATATATATATATATATAAATAAATGAGATTAAAGTCCCGCTTAGTTAAGCAGGTCAAAATCTAGTTAAAATTTAAAGCTAAACACTACTCCTACTTGTCGAAAAAAACACTACTCCTACAATCCAACAAACCATTTCCTAGTTCTCACACTTTTAAAATGCGAGATCCTTTTAAATGATTAAGTTTGTGAAGAATAATTTTCAAAACAAACTGTAAAAGTCTATTTAAAAATATGTTAGATGATGAACCGTACAAAATCTTAATTTTAAAATAAAATGAAATATTTTTTTGATAAAATATTTAAGTTTATTTAGGATTCTGAAAATTGCAATCATAAAAATCTATCATAACCCTTCCATCACACAATTCAAGAATATATATATTAGTTAATTTTATATTGCATTTTGTATCAAATTATAATATATTGATTTAATTTATCAGTATAAATTGTTGTCAAAATTTAATATTTGAACTTCTGCATGGCACGACAGTTTAGGCTTGGTGTTACTACGTAACTAATAACTTTTTCGAATAGCTTTGCTCATAGCCTTAATACCAGTTTGACTACACGTACGGTATGGTAACATATACTTTTCAAGTCGTCCAACAAGATACTTCACCACTGAAATAAAACCTATGTTAAGGCTTCACGAACTGATATCATTGGTGAAGTTTATCGACCAAAGCTAAAAGATTCAGAAAGCAAATTCCTTTCCGAAAGGCCAAGGTATTCTACTATGTGTATTTGATAATTTTTAGTCTAAAACATGTGGAAGAAATTACTAAGTAAGATAGGAGAAACATTGAAGGATCATGAGGTCTGAATGTGTGTGCGACTTTGTATATAGGAACCTTTCATATTCAACTTCACCATTTGCGAAATAAGAAAAAGAAAGAAGAAACTCGTGGAACAAATTAAGCCGTTTAGAAGCATTGTTGCTGCAACTTCTGTTGCAGATCCTAAGGAGAAAGAACATGTTGTTTCATTACTCATGAGCATGCCTCAGCCGCGCTCTCGAATGTTTGCTGCAGCTTTGGGTTTTGTGGTAAAGAAGAAGAAAATCTCTCTGAACGGCTATCCAATGAGAGTTTAGGATAAAAGTTGGAATCTGTTCAACTTTCTTTAACTTGTTATGAAGAATTGTTAGCTATAGATAAAATGAAAAGTTCATGTTTTGGTCTTTTGTGTTTGTGGGTCTTGTGTATATCACTCTTATCAGATTTTGTAAAGCTCCAACCAAAAATCTATAAAACATTACTTTATATTAACTAATGTTTTTAATGATAGTAAGACAATAAAAATATTTAATTATTAGGAAATAGAACGTTCAATAATGGATACAAAATGTTTTCAACCAAGGCATTTTAATTTGTATACCCCTGCCTCCACAATCATTTTTTATTTTCAGCTTCTTTCTTGTTTGGTTATATCTTGAGTTGGTTTCTTCATGGGGCATAGCCTCCACCGCCTGAACCACCACCACCACCGTGACCGCCTCCACCAGCACTTCCATATCCACCTGCTGCACCACCATAACCACCTCCTTCACCACCACCACCACCACTTCCATAACTACCTCCATGTGCTCCACCTCCACCGTAAGCTCCTCCTCCACCACTTCCTCCACCACCACCGCCTCCATACCCTCCGGCTCCTGACGCACCTCCTCCTCCAGCTCCTCCTCCTTCACCCCCTCCGTAAGCACTACCACCATAAGATCCTCCACCTGCTGATCCTCCACCACCTCCATGACCTCCACCACCTCCAGCTCCAGCTCCACCTCCATACTCACCTCCACCGGCGCCACCACCTTCACCAGCTCCACTTCCATAACCACTAGCATGTTCACCTCCACCACCGTAAGCCGATCCTCCACCGCCTCCGGTACCACCACCTCCCCCGCCAGCATGACCACCAATTACACCACCAGCTCCTTCACCACCACCACCACCACTTCCATAACCACTAGCATGATCTCCTCCACCGCCATAAGCAGCTCCACCACCACCACCACTACCTCCACCTCCGCCACCAGCATGACCACCATAACCACCAGTTGCTCCACCGTAACCGCCACCTCCGCCTTCTCCTCCTCCACTAGCATATCCACCGGCAGAAGAAGCTCCACCACCACCACTACCACTACCTCCACCTCCGCCACCAGCATGGCCACCATAACCACCAGCTGCTCCACCATAACCACCACCTCCGCCTTCTCCTCCTCCACTAGCATATCCACCGGAAGAAGAAGCTCCACCACCACCTCCACCATGACCACCACCACCAGCATGTCCACCGTATCCACCAGTTGCTCCACCATAACCGCCACCACCTCCTTCTCCACCTCCACTAGCGTATCCGCCAGAAGAAGAAGCTCCACCACCGCCACCACCGTGACCACCACCACCGCCAGCAGCATACCCTTCAGCTCCTCCATATCCACCACCACCACCTTCTCCACTACCGCCCCCATAACCACCACCACTCACTCCTCCATAACCTTCACCACCACCGTGTCCTCCTCCACCGCCACCACCATGACCAGCGGGGATATTCCCGTATGTTAAGAGATTCCGGCTAGTTGCGTAGCAAATGCCAACGCCGAGTATAAGAAAAAAGATTGTTGAGAGAGCTTTGAGAGAAACCATTGTTATGATAGTAGTGAGATTTGAACTTGATGAAGAAAAGTGGAAGGGCTTAGTGAGGTATTTATAGTGATTGGGGTTTGGTATGTTATGCCGCGTCCACTGTAAAAAGAGTTGTTGATGAAGCACATGCCTATGATTTAAAAAAGTGTAGATTTACTGTCCCCACCATTACTCCTAATTTTGGTTTCAATCTCTTCATTTTTCTCTAAGTTCATCAATTTTCTGAAGATGTAGTGCAACAATTTTATTGACCAAGACGTCAATTTAAATCGTTAAAACAAGATCATTGGAAAATTTCAACTAACAAAAAATTAGTTGGTTTCTTAGCACTATGAATATATCAAAATAGAGTGTCAGTGACATACATTTGTTCAAATGGATACAAAAGTATCTTTAATACACAAAAATGGATAGAAAGGTTAGTTAGAATATCATTAATAAGATACAATATTGTGAAGTATAGTGTTGGGTATTTCATTTTGACTTCTATCCTCCATTCCCTCAACTAAGAATTTACCAACCCATTTATCCCAAACCAAACCCTCTTTTCTATAATCTTTTACTTTCACCTAAACTTTTATTTATTCTTTACTTTCACCTAAAACTTGTGGTCTTGTGTTGTCGTATAATTAACTAAACTCCATTGTTGCATAAACCATGAGTCGTCATGATTACTCTGAAGATGAACTTTAGTTTAGAAGATAAAAGTTTTTTTTTTTAAAAAGACTTAGGTAAAGTTCAGACCAGACCTCTAATCACAAAGTTTCCACTGACAGTTTACTAGTTTAGACTCCAGTATACACAAAGAATGTAAATCTGATAAAGAATGTACGTTAGTCAAATTTACAGTTAGGAGTTATCTAGAATTAGTAACAAGTCACAATATCTTGAATTACGGTGTTAGTATTCCTTTTACCATATCCTCCTTTGCTCACCAAATTTCTAAACAAGCATTGTTTCTCAAGCCAATTTAATTATCTTTTCTTTATACTAAGACAGATATAGCATTGAGCTATAAAAACTCCTAGTTTATCCTAATAGGACATATATGTGTTGCAATGACTAAGCTAATCTCTTACTTCTTTATCTTTTAGTAAATGCAAAGTCTATATATAAACTAATTTGATTACGTAAATACACACTTCTATTGACATGAAAACGTAAAATATTAATCATCTATGGAATAATGCGTTGGCTTATCACTCCAATATATGTATTTTAAAATATTAATTTCTGATGAGATCTTTATTCTAGAAAGTTGAAATCAATCATAAATATTTTAATGCACGAAACTTCGGTACCGAAACATATATGAATAGAAAAAAGGTTTTGGTAAAAGACTACTAACACTCAAAACACTTATTAATGCGTATTAGCATTGCCACTAAGAAGACTTATGAAGATTTGAGACTTTGGTGCTGTCCAGCCAATCACCACTTCCCGACCTATTATGTCAAAGAGGTATAGATAACAATACAATGAAAGAAATATATACAAAACAGATCAATAAGTGTATACAGTACGCATTGTCAAAAATAAAAGTGTATAAGTTACGCACTTATTCAAAATAACTTTCGTTTATTAAAACAATAATAGCAATTCTTGATAGAATATGAAATTATATGTTTGAAAGTTTGTAGGTTAATTGTATCGTCCCTGAGAAGAGCAAGTAGGTCAATGATCACACCACTTCTGCTTCTATCTTACCAAGTCAGAGTTCGAACCATGCAGATGCCTCTAATGAGGTGAACTATTAGGCTATTCTGCCACAAATAAAGTAATTTGGACAGTAACAAAGACTAAACTTAATACACTAACAAAGACTAAACTTAATACATTGCAGAATATAAAATAAATATTTAAATGAAATGATAAGAGTTATTGCACATAAGAGTTGCTTTCCTTTATTTACAATATGATGTATTAAAAACTTTACTGATAAAAACAGGCTACTATAGTAATGGCCTAGTGTAATTCAAGACTAAAAATTGTGTGTGTTTCTAAATACCTGCATGATCGCATTATCGTATTTTCATTACCTAGGTTACCAATTGTTATTTAATCATATAATTAACAGAATAGAACTTCAGATGCATCAAATATTGTGTAATATGATATGCTATTTGTAAATTATGTTTTTCAGTAAACACTAGTTACAAATTTCACCAAAGTGTGGTGCTATTCAACGCTAACAATTCTTGTAAAATATTGTCCACTCTACCAATTAAAATGAACTCTAATGAAATTTCAAAATGGAAAATTCAGTGTAAACACACAAAAGATTAAAATCCACACACTTGAGTTCTTACAAGTATTATAAATTTTTCAAATTATAAGTATAAAAAAAATCATTCGTCAAATTACCTCATATTTGTGTTCCTTATAAACCTATCATTTTGTCCAACAACATATTTACAATTATATCATAAATAAACACAAACTTTTGGTTCATTTTGACGATGCTCACGGGGAAAAGTATACTGTATATGCAAATGTAACAAATAAGTTTTTTGGGAGAAAAAGTGTGTAAGAACATTGACAAATGAAGAGCTCACGCTTTTAGCTTTGTCAAAAGAAACGCACCCAATTTATAATTGGTTTCCAGCAAAATACAGATTTGTTCCATTGAGAGATGAAGGTAATGATGATACGTAGGTACACACGTATACAAATAGGTGGCTATATGTACAGTTTCATCCGCAATACAAAGATGGAGATCACATGGAAAAAGCACACACCGTCGTTGTTGAAGATTGGCGTGAAGAAGAAGTAGTAGGACCAGTACTAGTACCCATAGTGCTCCTTGTTTATCTTCCACGCTTCCCCAAAAAAACTTTAGTTACTTAGTTTTCTCAAGCCTATCATAAAATTCCACACAATGTCCCATAGAGGGGTTGATGATGAAGAAAGTGTATTCCATTGCATCATCAAGTATATCTATGTGCAAATTCAATCCGTTAGAGAAGTTTAACAATCTTTAAAACTCCATCGACCAGTAATGAGAATAATTACTTTCAACTAATCAAATACTTAAACGTACATGTTAGATTAAATTACATATGTCGCAAGTGTGGATAGAAATGTTCCGATAAGCTGGATCTAATTCAGCTAAGTCTGATATGTATTAGATCCGATCGTGACTTGGTCTGATCCTGATTTTGAGGAATACGTCTATATTTTTATTTGCCTTTCTCCCTGTGGTTGGTTAGTATGCAAAACGAAAAGAAAATGGCAGTTCAACGGGTTTGGCCTATAAGAAACGAACCGAGCCTAACCCTAGTTCTCTGAAAACATTACAACTCTGGATGGATCAGATTCCAGACTGATCTTTAGCTGCTTTAAAACTTTTAATCACTATTGGGAACTTAGCGTTTTCGTACTTAAAAGTCTTGCTGAATATTGCACCAAGACAAAGCATTTGGTCCCTCACTGACAATGGAGATCACATAGTCTGACAACAACATACAACAACAAAAAGCCCACTACTTGATTTATGGTTTCTCTCAGACACGACATACAAACTTGAAACGACAAGAAAAAAAAAGAAAGAAAACAAAACAAAGTGCGTATAGATAGGACTTATAGGTTAGGGCATTATAAAGCGGCAAACGAATCTACTTTTGCCTACATCTCCTACTACCACTCACTCATCAATAGGGGTGGGCAAAAAAACCGGAACCGAAATACCAAACCGAACATACCTGAAAATAACCGAATCGAATTTATGAATTATTGAATTGGTTACAAAAGTTTTATACCCGAAGAACCGGAACCGAACCGATACCGAACCGATAACCGAATAATACCCATATAGAACCGAATGAAAACCCCTTATACACTTACCTTATACATTTATATATCTATAGTTTATACTTTATACCCATATAGTCTTTTGCATGTTTTATTTTCAACAGATTGGTGTTTGGTTGTTTAAAAACCTCGTGTGTTTTTTGGATGTTTTATTTTCACAAATTGGATTTTGGTTTCTTAATGAGGAAATCATTTGAATGTTATTTTGATGTTGGTTTTAATTCATCTATTTGCAAGTGCATTAAATTAATTTGGGTAATATGGTTACAAAGTAACCATTTAGAACCGAACCCGATTGGAACCGTTTTTTTCCGGTTCTAATATAGTTACCAAAATTTAGGAATCGAAAGAACCGATAACCGAAAGAACCGACCCGAATTGATCCAAGATTTTCACGGTTCCTTAATGGTTACCAAAATTCAAGAACCGAAAGAACCGACCCGAACCGAACCGAAGGACCGAACGCCCAGCCCTACTCATCAAGCTGTAATTTATAATCGTTGGTTATTTTCTTCGTAAAAACATAGGAGTTAAATGGTATATGTTAAATGAATAGTAGAATAACAATCATATAGCAAAAAACATTACCACGACACTATTATTATCCTTTTATCAAAAAAAGAAAAAACCATTATTATTATCCCCTCCTAAACCTAAAAGTTTATGGTAGTTTGAAAATTTTAGAGTTTAATGGTAGCTTCGGTAAATAAAACATAAAATTTGATAATCTAATAATAATTGGCTACTGTCTTTAAAGATGGTATATGACACCTTTGGAAGTCTGATTCTATCAAAGCTTTAAACTTATAACGATAATAATGGTAACATTTTCTTGTTAAATTCTGTAAACAATAGATCATTACATTACTCTCTAGAGGTCTTCTTACTGCAAAATTAGCATCAAAGATAGAAATATTTAGCTTTCATACATTATTAACCTTACAAGTGATTCAGTTTCATCAAGAACAGAGTTTCACGTAATCATAATTATTAAAAAAAGTAGCAGCAAAAATCGAATTTTGAGCTATACCCATTGTTATATTTGCAATCAACAAGTATTCAATCAGACGTAGAAGACACAAAAGCTTCAATCTCATCAATAACAGAGCTAAACCTGGGCCTATCCTTAGGCCCAACATACAAAACGCCGTCGTTTACACCAAACTCACACATCCCAACCTTTCCTTTCTTCACCCACAATCTCTCACCGAAACTACGATGAGCAAAGTAAGCCTCCACCGAAACGACGCCGTTACACTCCTCATCAACCACTTCCACCGGCAACCTCTCGTAGTGCTCGACTTTGATCCCTTCCAACTCGTCAAGCCTCACAAGCCCACGTTTCGAAACCGAGTAAAGCTCGCCAAGGATCCGTTGACCCGACCCGGGTTGGTTGATCAGGTAAGGGATCCCGTAGAGACCCGTGACTAGCGGGTAGGATGATCGGGTCGTGCGTTGGCCGACGTAAACGGCGTCGTTCTTTGAGATGAGGTCTTGTAAGAGGAAATGGTTTGGGTGGTTTCTTTTGAGTGTTCCGTAGACGAAAATGTGGTTGGTGAGTGCTCCTCCTCCTCCCATGGCGAGTTTCTGAGGCTCGGGATGTGTGGCTTGTAAAGGTTATTAACTTATTATCTTACTCGTTTATTGTGGGCTTTTGGATAGTCTCTAATGGGCTTTTGAAATTGGGTGATTCAAAAATGGCGGGCTTAAATCACAGTATTTTAGACTGTGTCAACGTGTATGGCATTTAATTTGTTATAACTCCGATCTATATTATTAAAGTTGAAGTACATTTAAGAGTTGTTTGGAAACATTATTAGTAGTTTAAATGAGAATTGTTTGGAAACATGGATAACAATATAAAAAAATATAAGTATTCTTTTAATAATTTCATTAATTATATTACCTTAACAATACATCACATTATTAATTATATTTCACATCATTAATTATATTTACTATAAGAATACATCAAATCATTAATTATCTATCTAATTAAAGTAGAAATACCAATTGGAGTGTTTGGTAACAGGTTTACCAGCTATTTTTAACGGTTGTTTGGTAACAAGTGTATCTATCAAATCTTAACATATTTTCGGATGGACTAAGGTATACTATAATTTCGACAGGCCCAAATCGTCACAATGATATATTTAACAAATCTCTCCTATGATTTTATTAACAAATACCAATAATATATTCCCTTAACTAACCTCATTTTTTTCAAAAAATATCAATAATATATATTTCAAAAAATTTGAAAATAAAGTCATTTAAAAAAAAATTTTTAATAGATCAGGATTTCTTTAAAAATAATAAAAAATTAAAGAATATTAAATTTTATTGACAAAATATATTATTTTTAAAAAAAAATAATGAAAATGTTTATTTTTTTAGATAAAATATTACTTGGAGAATTCGCAGGTTACCCGCAAAATTAAGCGGGGAGGATGTGGTATGGTGAATTTTGAACCGCGGACTGAACGAGTCAAATTTTTAAGTAAAAAAAAGTAGTAAACCTGCGGGTTATATACGCCCAACGGGTTTAAAACATATCAACTGGCAGAACCTCTGATAGAATCGTACTTGAAGAACATATGCCAATCCGAGTTATATACGACAAGAGAATCTAAAAATACTCTATTATTTGTGAAATTCAATTTAGTTTTTGGTTTTTAATTTGGTGCGTTCAGTTTGCGGCTTCGAATAAATATATCTAAACATATACTCTCAGTTTACAAATGTGGTTAGATATTTAATAAAAACAATTAAAACAATTAAAAACAAAACCCGCCCTTTCCAAGGGCGGGTCAAAATCTAGTTTCAGTTTAAACGTACTAAACGTTGATTGAATTTGTGAAGAAAGAAAAACTATGAATGTTACTAGTTTGGTTAGAGAACGTGTATCTAAATGGTATAAATCAGCTTGTAAAGTGTTAACCATCTATTAACATTTTCTGAGAAATAGAGAAAACAAGTGTAACGAAATACATCAAAACTTAATTCATTCATTTATAACCAAGAAAAAGATCTCTTCATTTAATTTGGGTCTACCAATGAGATCATCTACACAAAGTGAAAGTCGAGTTCTATGTGTAATGTGTGTTCAGATAATTTTTGATCTTTGAATAAAAGAGTGAAGAGGTCGGCAGAAATTGTTTGGAGTTTTGAAATTAGATAATATATACTCCCATGTTCCTAATTGGTCTATTTTTGGTGTTTTACGCATGTTAAGTAAAAGCTAAAATTGATTACTAAATACATAATTTTCGTGTTTTGCTATTTTCCATAAATTTGAACTAATAGTATTATTATTTTTTGGAATTTACAATTTATTATTATTAATTATTAAAATTTTATACAAAATGTAAACCAAATGCCTTTTTGACACATAATATTATTTTAAATCTTTAGCTGTTAGACATAGAGGGAACATTGTTTAATACTAGAAGTTGATTGTTTAGCAATGACATATTTTTTTTTTCATCTTTTATCACACACCTTTGCATTGTCAACATCTAAAAATAAATACAAGACTGAATACCTAAAATTAACATGTGAATTGGTTCGATTTGGATATTTAGGTATAAAACAACTAGGTATTTCAGATATTTTATGTGTTTAAAATATTTTTGGCTATTTTCAGTTATTCTGCGAATTTATTTCAATATTTTTATATAATTTAAATATCTTATAGATACTAGATCTATAATAATATATTTAAGTATATATAATTGATATTTATATATCTTCGAATACCCAAATTATTTTGGTTGGAGTCAGATTCAGTTTATATTCTTCGGATATTAAAATTTTGGATTTGTTTAGTTATTTTATCAATTTCAGTTTCAGGTTCAATACTATTTTCGGGTCACGTTGGATGTTGGGTTCAATTTTCCGGATCCGGATATTTTTACCTCGCCTTACACATACATGTTTCTTTTCTTCAAAAGGCACTGCAATAGATATTCTATATGTCCTCGAGGAAATCCAGTATCTATAAGTTGGTGATCCCTAATTTGTTATAGAGCTCTATATACATTAATGAATAACAACTATAGCATAGAAATGTTATTAAGATACAAAATCACAACTAACTTTCCTATGTATAATGTATGTTACTGTACATACATTTTTTAGTATTTTTGGCCAGAAATGTTTTATATATCAAACGATGTTGCAATAACATTTGACAACCACCATGGTAGATACATAAATATTTGTAGTATAATCTTCTTCTTTTTACGAAATAGCCTCTTGTAACCAGACAAATGATCAAAGTTTGAGAACCTGGATCATAGACAACACTAAGCTACCAAGGAACCAAAGTATAAATATACATGTCATAATAAAAGTTAACAGGTGAACAATGCCTAAGCATTGGATGAAAACCGTTGGTAAGTTTTTTTTTAAACCGTTGGTATAAGCGTTAACTTGATAGTATTATCAAGAAAAATGTTTAACACAATTTTAAATTTTAGATGTTACGGTAAAATATTTTTAAACTTTATGTTAATTATATACGTTTTTTGTCTGCTTATTTAAATTATATACTATAGATATATTTTTGATGAAAAAACAGAGTGGCACCTGTTAAGATGTGATGGTTAACAATGATAAAAAGACAAAAAACGTTCATAGCTGCACCAAATAAAACTTGCGTTCAAACACTATTTCTGAATGAAGACAATACAAGCTGTAGGTGAATTTGGACCGCTTTGGACGCATAAAAAGCCTACCATTTTACACGGTCGCTACATTATTTAAACATTTTAGTCCACAGAATATACCGTGACAAAGGATATAATATCCGTACGTACAGAAGACTTGAGAAATGACGGAATCGAAGTCAATGGCCAACGCGTCGAAAGCTGAAGTTACACAACAACCAGTGCCGGTTTGCTTAACCGGTTGGGTTGCCTATGGAGAGCAGTTCGTTTAATAAGTAACTTCCACACAAGACTGAGTCCTAAACCATATGTATAGTTTGAGTTTCCCTAATATGAAAAGGAAGCTTCACTAATTTGATTTGGATTACTATGTTACGGTATTTATCTTACTCTTAAGTCGATTTTTGCCACACTGTGTGATTGTATATCGTATTAAAATTACAATTTTCACAGCCATTAATTCGGATTGGCCCCAGAACCATAAGAGAAGATAATGATACAATATGGGACTAGTGGGAAAGTGTGAATATTCCTGAGTCAGATATGGCGTGCCGTATCCCATTGCTTCACTTTTTCTCTCAAGGGCCACCAGTTTTTCTATGATATTTTTTGCTGGCTTTATCATATGATACAAGAAAGTTGCTTATAAAAACATGAGATATCTTGGGAAAATCTTGAAGGATCTTCCAATCGTTTTAAGAAAACTGTAAGACATGACTATCCATATAAATATTATGAAGCTAGTTCATGCAGATCTACTGTGATATCATACAATGATATAACTTTGTTATAGACGTCACATGACAACAATGGTTTTTTTTTCTTGTTTCTCCGGAATCCGAGGTTCTACTCTAAATTAAATATCAGTCGATAATCGCCTGAATTCAAAAACAAAAACTGTCTATCAATTACCATGAATGAAGATAGGCTTTTAATGTCATGACCGATTAATAGTGTAGGTAAACTATCTGTTTCCTTTAATAGTTGTTCGCCTTGTTTCATTTATTATGATGCATATGTCCACACATTGTATGCATGATGACTACATATGTGTTTATGGAGTTTTTAAATCTGAAGAAATATCAATAATTTATGGTGTGATTCATGTTAGTAAGAAAGTTTACTTGTTCATCACTACAATAAATGTTACAAGTGTGCATGCTTCATGGAAGATGAGCCTACACAATTAACTTGATATTTAACTATCCATCAATTAATATAGAACCCGAGTATATCTAGTGAGACAAACATACTGACTCTGGATTTTGGTGAGATATTGTTCAAACTTTCAAATTTGTTTTGTGTCCGCTTAAAACAACTAGCTACTGAGTAGTGACCAAATTAAGTTTACGAGGTTAGTTAGTATATCAATTTTGTAGGGGTTTAATAGAAATTCCTATAAATCAGACACTTTTACAAATTTTGGCGAAATTGCAATTTTAATTTGGATTTAGGTTACATTTAGTTTAACTTTTATATTTTCGTGATAAAATTTGTTTTACCAAATTAAACTAAACCTGCTATTCCAATTCCAAACTTTCAGACTGAATCATATTCCCTCCATTTCAAAAAGATTTTTAGAAACAAAATTGTTTCAAAATATACATTTTACTTTTTCAGTGCATTATTTGATAGCTAATTATAAATTTCGAGAAAGGTAATTGTGTTTATTGAAATTTTATTGATCAAAAGTTATTGCAAATAGTTAGTAACAAAAAATAAAACATTAATAATCAAAATTTAATATGCTTTTTATTATGTGTGAAATTCTATTTTTTTAATTTGTATTAAAATTTGGGTTATTCAACTTACTATAACTCAATTTTTGTATATGATTTTAGTTCTGGTTCAATTTTATTTATTTATTTGAAGCTCATTACTCTTTTAGAACTTCCAAAGATCTTTCTTTTTATTCGTTTGTCTGGGACATAATTTCAGTTTTCTATGGTTTTTGTTTTGTTTTATATCTTAACGATATGCAAGATAACCTAAACAGTGTATAATTTAATTTTCTTAATCAATGTTTTTGTTTGATTTATTTTGGTTCATGCCGGTTTAGTTGTCCACGCAGAATTTTTTACAAAATAATCATTCGATCAAGGACGGTATTAGTTTAAAGCGAACTTCCCTTTCAGGTGATGCATGTTGGAAGAGTTAGTATTGACTTTGCAATATGATTTTCTTCATCAATTAATTACATTTGAAACATCAACCAAGTTCAGACACAAAACACAAGGCATTGAGTAGTCACTCATCTTCTAAACTATGAAGCTTATCTCTGTTTGTATCTCTACTATGCACAACATTGGTCCTTTCTTTACATCACCCATTATTTACTTTGGGATGATTTCAGATATTAGTTACAATCCAATCCAAACTGAATTGAGAAGATCAAATCGAATCCAATCCGATAATTAGTAAAATTCAAATAGGATTTATGAGAATAATACCAAAATCTGAAAATACGTCACAATCAAATCAAAACCGACGAAGTCTCAAACGTCAAGACCTATGATGATTTAAGATACCAATATTTGTATTCATTATTTTATAATCAATAAATACTACAGTATTACAAAATGTTAAAAATCATTTAATTAATAAATATTAGTATTAAAATTTCATCATGTGCATGCGCGCAGGTTATCATCTAATCACCCATTATTTACTTAGATTACCACTATCTTCGTTGTATATATATATAAAGTAATACTTATTTATAAAGTCCAATTCACTCTCTTTCCAACTCATAGTTATGAAGCGTATAATTAAAATTGAACATAAAACACTTTCATGTATACAAAAGCATAAATGATTCATGATGTAAACACAATTTACTTTTAAAAGATAGGTTTGCATCACTGTCACATTCTGTAAGCGGGGTAGGTTACTGGTTAATTAATTTTTTTATATTATGATTAATTTAAAGAATATAGATTAAGATAACAATAAGCAACACAGTAGTTTTTATATATTGAGTTTATCATGTATTTAAAATTATCAATATATATATAGATATTATCAGCTATAAATAATATGCAAGCATACATTCTCTTACATAATTAGATACTTATTGAACTTTGAGCGTTATGGTAAATTTTGACTTGTATAGCTATAATTCTCAGTTCCCAAAAGAGAAGTTATAAAAACTATCAGTTCTTATGTTTGTTTTTAAATTACTTTTCAATAATTTAAAGTTTTAGAATATAAAATAGTTATGATACACGTTTTAAAGCCATAAGTTTATAGTAGTAAGTAGAAGAAAGCTATAAATATTTTAACTAGTAAAGTATCCTTACACTAAATCCATGCATTTTCTAAACAAAATCCAAGGATGACTAACAAACAACGTAAGGCCTGATAACTTAATAAAATAAATTAACTAACATATTTATCTGAACAAAGTTATGCTGAATGATCAGAAGACACTAAATCTATTACTTTTTTGGATTAACCTGGGACTAAAAACTATTTTGTTTTGTAAATTATGTACTTCTAGTTTTTATGTACATAAATTTAACATAATTTTTTAGATAAATAAAACATTAAAATTTGAAGAAGTTATAAATAAAATTAAGTGTTTCGTCCGCACATTATCCTTTTACAGATACTTATTATTATATACATTACAAACATGAACATAATATGTAAGATTATCAAAACATAATATTTTTTTGTAACACTATAAAAATATAACATATCAAATATTCTGAAGTAAATTAAAAAGCTGAATCTTCATCTTTTTAATGTGTGTCGTTAGGGGTAGGCAAAAAATCCGAATCCGAAAAATTGAGCCAAATCTGATCTGAAAAAGTAGTATCAAATCCGAGCTAAAATTCGTTAAATATCTGAACGGGTTCAAAAGTTTGGTATCTAGAGAACCAAAATCGAACCCAATCCAAACCAAAATACTTCGGATACCCGAATAGATCCAAATCAGATTTGTATATTTAAATATATTAGTTATTTTTAGATGTAATATCAAAAATCATCAAAAATACATAAAATATTTTGAGGTTGTCCAAATATATTTAAAAATATATATAAATAGTCAAAAGTAAATATTTAAAATAATTAAACAATACTCAAAACACTATCAATATTTAAAAATATCTATTGATTCTCTATGCAAATATTCAACTTAAACCAAACTTTATGTTAAGTTAAAGTTTTTTTCGTATAAATTACTCAAACTTTTATGTTATCTATCATTTTTATTTTTTTATTTTTAAATTTAAACTATATATGATTTTTGTAAATTTTAAAAATAATTTAAACGGATTATCTGAACCCGAACTGAACCCGCAAAAATTTGAACCAAACCGAACGAAATTTATAAATACACGAATGGGTTTGAAATCTCTAACCCCGAAAACTCGAATCCGAATATATCTGAATCGAACTTGAATGGATATCCGAACGCCCACTTCTATGTGTCGCTTTTTTTTTGGTTTACTCAATAAACATTCACACAAACTTATCTTACTATTTCATGAATTTTAATCTTTTAACTAAGATATTTTTTAGCGTGAGATAGAATTCTATTCTTCAAAACGTATAATGCAAATAATGGAATATTATGATTTAGAAAGAAAAAAACACATGTTTAAAAAATAGAGAAAACACATAATGAAAGAACAAAGAATCATGTAACGGAAATTAAGATAAGATATGAGATGTCAAATTGCAATAATGGAGGAATACTTTCATCAACTTTTCAAAAAAAAAAATAAAGTATCAAAACTTTGAAATAGTTAACAAACTCTAACAACCAATAAATGTGATGACTATATAACACTTTATATACTATAAATTTGGAAAAAAGTATATCGTTATGAGAGAGAAGACCAAAGGACATAAAAGACATTTTAAAAATACAAAGGAATAATAAAAGAGAAGAGGCCAACGAGAGAGTTCCTTGAAGCCAACGTATTTAGGCTCGGACTCTAGCTTCGGATTTAGCTTCGGTTTCAAAACCTCACAATCTTAGGCTCGGATTTTAGATTCGGTTAATCAAAATAAGGGAGGATAAAGGAGGAATCTTTCTCCTCTTCTTCTCTCTAAAACCCACTTTGCAAGAAACCCATCTCTCTCTAAAACCCTTTTTTTATCTATTTCCACAAAAGTTTTGGAGCTTACTCAGAAAAGTCTGGTCTTTTACTGTATTCCGACAATGGCCATTGAAGACCACCAGAACCCAAATCGAGTAATCAATCCTAAGAACAGAACAATCATGGTTTGTCTTAACAAAGTCTCTCACTTTTTAGATTTTTTTTTTTTTTTGAAGAAATCTTTTTAGATTATTGCATTGTTGGTTCTGTTTTTCATTGTTCTGCATTGTCTGCTCGTAATGTTCTTCGAGCTTTACTGATTCGTTATCGATTCTAAGGTTTCTGGGCTTGAGAAGAGGATTTTCTCTGAACTAGATTCACGGCTTAATATTCGGTTCCGTATTTACCGCCGTTTAATATACTTTTTATTTTATTTTATCTGACAGAATCATATAAAATTTAGAAAACCATTAACCATAGCAACGCCAAGAGTCTCCTTAAGTCTATAAAGGAGAAGACTTTACGATATTTGGAAGTCAATGGTGTTCAGATTTTGTTTTGAAAGCTAACTTCTTTGAGATAATGATTCATCACTGATGTTTTTAATGGTTTTTTTTTTCTTCAGGGAGGTGTTGAACAAGAGGAAGATGAGAAGTGGTGGCCTTCATGGTTGAAACCTTTACTTAAAGAGCCCTTCTTTGTTCAATGCAACTTTCATGGACACACACCTAAAAGCGAATGCAATATGTATTGTTTGGACTGTACTAATGGCTCTCTTTGCTCTCTCTGTCTTGCACATCACAAGGGTCATCGTACCATTCAGGTGCGTTTTTGCGTTGCAAGATGAGGAAATTTCTCATCTTTAGAGTTGCATTTGGATTTTGAATGTTGATGGTGTTTGATATTGCAGATAAGGAGATCATCATATCATGATGTGATAAGGGTGAGTGAGATTCAGAAGCATTTGGATATCTTCAGCATTCAGACGTATGTGATCAACGCCGCAAAGGTTGTGTTTTTGAATGAGAGGCCTCAGGCTAAACCTGGTAAAGGAGTTACTAACGCCTGCAGTGTCTGTTCTCGTGGCCTTGTCGATGATTGCTTCCGCTTCTGCTCTCTCGGCTGCAAGGTACATTTCCCTTAATGTAATTCTTGTTCTGTTTTTTGTGATAAGTATGAAACTGTTGGGTTATAATTTCAAGTCTTTGGTTTATTTACAGAGAAAAGTTTGGAACTTTTGATTTGGGTCTTTCTTTTCTTGCACATAACTATAACTCTGAGCAAAGAGTCTTTCTTCTGATGAACTTTTTCTATGTTTTTGCAATAAAAAGGTAGCAGGAACTTCTAGAAGCTTTGAGAAGAGAGTGAAGAATACAGCAATGGAATCAGAGAATTCAAGCAACAGTTCAGGAGTAGAGGATAACATTCTAAATCCACAGAGTTTGACCCCATCAACACCTCAACTTCCTAGTTCTACTTCTTTGAGAAAAAGGCTAAGAAAGGGATTCCCTTATCAATCTCCACTACAATGAGGTTTTGTCGCAAAGAAGAAGGGTTTAAAGCTCAATACAAGACACAACATAAAAGGTTACTAAAGAAAGGCCTTAGTAATAATAACTAGTAAGTGTATATATATGATGATCATCCTCTTGTCCATTCTTAAATGTGATGCCATTGAGGCATGGGGGATTTTAGGGTCTTAAAGTGGGAATAAGACAAGATATTGAGGGCTTTTTAAGTAGTTTTTTTTTTTTGACAGTCCTTGTGTATAAATTTGGTTTTGATGGATCATATAACAAAATAACATAATTTATATATTTTGGTTTTAAAATGCTTACTAAGACAAATCCGAAGTTGTCCAAACGTAACAATCAACAAACCATATTTCTAGACAGTTTATAGAACAATTAGCCAGCTCAAACTTCTTTGGTGTACACCTAACTGAATAAAGTTGGCCACATCCATCACAAATAGGTGGAGTGGTACTATTGTTGTGAAGACATTTCACCTTGAAATTTTAGTAACGCATGGTAAATTGTAAACAAGCATAACTGGAAACCGATTGATCAGTCCACAGACATCACATGAAACTAATAGTGGTGAAGGAAAAGAAAAGAAAACAAATGTGATGCAATGTAGCTAAACAGTGAATGTGAATAATGTCTCTTTGATGTGAATTTGGTTTTGAAAATTATATAGATAATCACTAATACATATAATAATATTAATTAACAAATGCAAAGTTTTGCAAACCCAAACCAAGGAGATACAACACCAAACATTCTTCCAGTTACACCAAATGTTCAATGCAATAAAAAGAGAAGACTACAAGAGCCGAAACATTAACTAAAAATAGAGGAACCCAATAATTCGAAACAATCTCCCCCACTTTTGCCACTAAACTTCTCAACCTGGTCATGTATAACCCTGCTGACCCTGCCTATACTTTCTGAAAATATCTTCAGTTTTCGCGTTTCGAAACGCACAGCAGCCGATTATATAAACGATTATCAACCCGATTAACGCCAACAGAAGAATGACATCTGCTTTTAACCAATCCACCTTAAGATTTGCGAGCAAACCGGCTTTGCAAGAATCACAAGCGTAACACAAAGCGTTTTGATCATTGCTCCACTGTAGACAATCCATATCTGCATTCATATCTATAGGACTTATCCAGTAAGTAGGGTTCACGTACGTGAATCCACATTTTGTTGGAGGCTTGCAGCAACCAGACTGAAAAATAAACAAACGGGGTTAGATTTAAAAAATTTTAAAATATGGGGAGAAAAAAAGTTGCTCCGCGTGACTGATTAAAGTTCACCTAGTGGAAAAATCTAGAAAAGTTATGGATTTAATCTTATTTTAATCAAAAGTTTAAACTTTCACAGTTCTCGTTCAGACAAAAGCCTATAAGCTAAGAATCAATGTCTGGATTTGGAAGACAAACCTAACAAGCAAAGCATTTTGCATTACTGCCCCTTCCGTTTCATTTTCATTTGGTTTTAGCCCCGTACTTTTTTTCTAAACTATTTACACCCTATTTTTCCTCACAATTATAAAATTCATAGTGAAATAAAGACTTACTTGAATGGGACTAAGATGAGCATTGAAGAAATCAAGAGCCGAAGTATATGTCTGATTCAGTTCAGGACAAATACTAGTAGTACTCAAACAAGTACGGATCCTATCCCACTTGTAAGATCTCTGAACTCGTCGACGCAAGTAACCAGAGAAGTCTTGAAGACTATACTCAAGATAAGCTCTGCTTGGTTCCGGATGACCAGAGCCTTTAATGGTAACCATGTAAATAAATCCGACAAGAATACCTAAAAGAACTATGAGAGCAAGCATGGCAAGTAAGTAAACAACGAGAAGCCAAGTGACTCTCCAGAACCCTCCAATGAAGCCAGCTAGACCAACAAGAAGGATCAAGATTCCGAGGATTATTACTGGCCATTGAAGGAGCTTGACACAGGAGTTTACTGTTCCCATTGCGAGCCAGATCCCTGCGCCGAGGACTGGGATTGAGAGGAGGACGGAGATGAAGTTTATGCAACCGAGCACATTGTTGCTTAGAGGCATTTTTTTTGTTGGGAGGAGAGGAAGACTAACTATTATTTTTTGTGTTCTTGAAATTTGTTTGGTTTAAAGAAAAGGATTTACAATAACTTAGGAGAGAGGAATAATGGAGAGAAGGACAGGAGAGAGATAGAGAAAGAAGATTTACATTGACATGTGTAAAAAAGTGTATGGTGTTATATAAAATGTTCTAAAGGATTTAGGGTAATAATAACATTTGAATAAAGTGAATTGTATTCAACATAAAGGGGAAACTATTTGAAAAGAAAAGCAAGGTGGAAGAAGGTACTTTGATTTTGGCACTGGATTGCTGATGAAATTATTTGGAAAGATTATTTTATTGATTCCATTATATTTTTTTACATTTAACTTGAATGGAATACCATTTTATAAATCTCACAACTATTCCAAAAGATTTACAAAAAAAATCTTCCAAAATATTTGTCTACAATTTTGATTTGAATAAATGAAATGAATCTGTTCCATTTTTAAGCAATTCCATTAATCTTATTCCATCTAAATTTATTTCATTGATTTCATTTCATGGTTACTATTTAGAGTATTTATCTCCTTTCTAAAAAGAGAGAAAAAAAAATCAAAACTTATTTACTTCACATCTGAATACATTTTCAGAATCATTATATTCGTTTAAAAACTTGAACATTTTAATACTCGATTTTAATGAAATCAGAAAGAAGAAATTAAAGAAGATGGCAAAAAAAAAAACTATGCAAAGTGTTCATTTTTTAGTACTCTTATCGTAGTAATGTATTTCTTTTGGTAAATTAATCAATTATGAATGATGTTAGTGTAAATAATAGGAAGTTACTTGAAAAATAAATAGAAAGCTTCATAGATTCTTGTTCAACGTTCTTTTAGAAATGATGAATCTTGCGTGTATTACAATAACCAACTTTTTCTTTTAAAACATTCCGATATATTTGGTAAAAACTGAACTGTCTTCATTTTAAAGCTCAACTCAAAATTTAAACATACATTATAAACTTAAAAGATATAAATACATAATTAATAATAAATATATATGAAATGTCAACTGCTGCCGACCATTAAAAATCTCCAAAGAAGCAACAAAATATTGATATTCCATTCAACCTGTATGCAATGTCTTTTGTTGGTATCTATTTTGTGGATGCAATATTTTTTCGAACATAATGTGTAGATGCATTATTGAGCGGGAACATTTGTATTTGCTTTAATGGATGCGATATTGAGCGGGAACATTTGCATATGCTTGAAGTGGGGTTTAAAGTAAAGAGAAAAATGTAAATAAACAAAATCTGTATGACAATTTATCAAATGCAGAGGATAGCTTTCCTACTTCTACGAAGTAATTAGTTAAACGACATATGGATGGTTTAATGAGAGGCGAATTCCGGTGAGCTGGATCTCTAATTTCCATTGGAGCAGCCTTTATAGTTTTCTAATTTTTATTATCTTATTATTTTATTATATTACATCATATTTTACATTAGTATAATTTTGGAACAAAAATGTATTAACTTGTTATGTTATTGATTTATCGATCATTAATTTATAGAATTTCTACTTTTTTCTACTTCAACATGTAACAACAATATTATTACAACAAAGTTATATAGTTTCAAAATTATCATGATATAATAATTTTTGAACATTCACCATCACTAATTTGCATCGCTTCAAGTTTACAAAACTGTAAAGTAGTACAAATAAATATAGTTTCTAATGATATATATTTTTTTAGATTTGATAATTTGCACTCTAAATTTGACAATTATATCCGTAAGGTATCGTTTAAGACTTTAAGTCCTTCTAATTTTATACTACACTTAAAATATGTTTATTCTACTACAAAAATTCAAGATCGCGAGTCAACCTGAAAATTATAATGTATATAAATAAGAATAAAATTATATAAATATATAATAATACAAAGCTATTCCCAAAAGAAATCCAATTATATGAAAAGGATTTAAATCCCCAAATCCGCTATTTAAAATTTATTAGAAAATGGAAAAAACGTAAAACAACAATATACAGTCTGTGCAATTATACGCTACATGGATTCACATTTGGCCTTTACAGAGCGTCAAAAAAGAACCTAAAAACTAAAAATAAAAAAATAAACTTTCTTTATTCTGAAGGAAAAGCGCTGAAAGATTTTTTTTTTTTTTTTCTGAAGGAAAAGCGCTGAAAGATTGGTTATGTGATAAAATTAAAAATAAAAGAAATAATAGAAAAGGAAGGGAGATTTCTCAGAGAGATTGAGTGACATTTTAGTGATTCAAAGGGAAACTGTAGGATATTTCTGGTACTAATGAACAACGAAAAGCCTCCTCTTCAATGATACTTATCATGTGATGAACTGCTTCTGCAATGTCATCTACTGAACTTAGCTGACAACTCTCTTCCACCTTTCAAAATCCAAAAGTATGATGTATTTACAATTATCTCCAGAAAATTGACATCACGTAAAATTTGGAAGAAAAAATAAAGTAAATTTATTTTTTTGGCAACCAAAAAAAAAAAGAATAATTATATATATTTGACCAGATGTAGCTAAGAGTTCATAAACATTTCTGTTCTGTGATCTGTCTCTCTGACCGTTCATGATGTGCTGTCTAGCTCTAATTCCGTAACAGATATCCTTCAAATGGTATTAGAATAAATCCGGTCTAGTCCGGTTTAGCCTCCGGGTTATAGTTTATATACAATGATGAAGACTTCTTTTAGCCTAATGCTGGTAGAGTGAAATAACACATGTATGTCCAAAGGTGTAACATATTTATCGAAATACCACAAAATTTTTGTTGAACTAATCATGCTTAATCCCATTAAGTCCGGTTAAGATGATAGGGTTTAATTAAATACCTTAGTGCTGATAGAGTAGACAGCAAAAGTGTCCAATGTTGTTACACTTAGGTGAAGCACCGAGAGGGAGAGTGATTGTAAAGCAGCCACCAGCTTTGAGAGTTGCCGTGGCCCGGTGGTGACCATCGTTGTCCATCGGAAACCTCTTCTTCTCGACAAAATTCTGATGTTAGCATGAGTTTCGAATAGAGTCACGTCAAGATCTTCCATAGCGGTTCTCACGGAGCTTGTTGTGCCATTTCTATTCTCCTGGCTCGGATCATAAGAGTGAAGAAAGAGCTGTGATATAGGTAGTGAACATGGTTGATGGAGATTCTCCGGGTTAGAGTCTTGACTTGTTGAAGAAGTAACCGTCTGGTTTAGTTGAGCCTTTTGAAGCTTTTGAGCTTCAAGAGATAGGAGTTGATGTTCAAGTTCTTTGATGAAATCTATGGCTCCACCAACTATTGAAGCTTGCTCACCCTTTCATTAAAAAATTAAAACGCACCAAAATAATAAGCACAAGTAAATAATAGGCATATATAACAACCCAAAATGAAAATTTAAACCTTTAAAATGTTCACCATTAAATTGATTCACAAAATCAAAGGTTTTGTTCCCTTTTAATTTTTTTTTTTCAAAAATATTGAAACTCAATTAAAAATCTTACACCTTTTACAAGAATTTTCATAAATTGAAACCAATTGAAATAAAAAAAGTTAAAACCTGATAAACGGGTTTTCCATAAAATTGAAACCCTAGTCGATATTGTAAGAAAAAAATTATTTTTTGAAAGGACAAGAAAATTTAAAATATTATATTGGCAATTGAACCTTTTGAGCAAAAGGTTGAGGCATGAGAGATCTTAAGACAGAGAGATGTTGATTCATCTGTCTTCTTCGGTTTCTTTCTACGGCGATGTGAGTCATCCGTTGATTCTCAGCTTCTTCTTCGTTTTTGCAAACCCTAGGCTTCCTCCTCCTCCGCTTCTTCCCTCTGCTTGCCTGTGGTGGCTGCCATGACGATGGTTCTTGATGAGATATCTCCGGAGTTGTGTTCGTGGAGATGATGACGTCATTTACGGGTGACCGCTCAAGATCGACGAGAGACTTAAATGGGCTTGGTGAAAGAGCCTCGGGGAGCAAAACGTTTATGAGACCGTTTGATGATAAAGCTTCTAGTGTCATTGGTCTTTATTACAACATTTCTTCCTTACTACTAATTAGTATCGTTGATTTATATAGCAACATGCCGAATCTTTAATTTTTGGTTATTGAAAAGAAAAAAAAATATATAGAGCTAAAAAAGAATTGTGGAAAAGCGACATTTGCATAAAAATAAATCGAAATGATTAAAAATGACATTTGTTGAATGAATCTGTGAGTTTTCTGAGTGTGTACATGTGAGACCTTATTTGGTTTTGAATTTTGGTCGGTATTGTCATCATGTCATGTAATTCTGAAGAAAGCTTACATGTGAAATTTGCTAATGGCATATTTTTCTTTTTCTTTATATTAACTTTTATCATTAAAATTTGTAAAAATATTGACTACACACCTATGTTTCATTTTTGAATTTGATAGAAAACACATGCAAATATCACAATCATTTTTTCGTTTCCACATATTTTATGTGGTTGCACTCTTGGCTAGTTACGTTGGCTTATTACTCAAAATCCAAAATTCTTATCGGAAGAGATATGAAGATCATCATCGTAAAAGATAATTAAACTTTATAGAGAACTATCCATCATATAATTTCAAACATACAAATTTGGAAGTAAAATTCACAAATCAGAGATGTAAAAAGTCATAAATCAGATATATTCGTTGGAAGTTGCAAAATGAGTTTGCTTGATATGATCGTTGGGATGAAACTGACACAGGTTATGTAATCATATTCCAAAATCAAAGTTTATAAAATTCATAACTATTCATTCTTTTATTTTCTGTATGTATATATAATAGTATTTTTGATGATTGAGAAAATGACTTTTATTGTATGTTTGTATATAATTGTATTTTTGATGATTGAGAAAATGACTAGTAGGAAGAAGAGAATTAGATAAATGGAGTGGTGGCGGCACGTGCGATGGGTCACAGAGTCTAAAATGTCATGTTCTTTTCTTGAAATCATGGACCATCACTTTTTTATTTTTGTAAATATGGACCATCACTTCTTTAACATTTTATTAGCCTTTTACTACCCTAAAACCCTTTCTGTAAACATTTACATTTTTAGAAGGCAGGGTTCTTAAATAATTTACGAAATGTTGTTCTTATTTGTTGTTGTTATATTTGATAAAACTAAAAACTCAATGATCTAAAGAGAGAAGAAATAAGTATTCGATTCAAGCAGAGAACAAATGGGCCCAAACCGGTTCGGTATTTGGCAAGAGTCGACCGTGGGGACCGGACAGTAGCATACACATACATACAGGGACAAATGAGAGCTGGAAAAAGGAAAAATTTCACATTCAAATCTTTTTCTCTTCTTTGTTGACAAAAAAAAATAAATAATAATAATCTTTTTCTCTTCCTATTTGTTTATTCTTCGATCGCATCTTAAAATTTACTTCGTGGGTTAAATCTATAAATATAACATCTCCACAAGATTTTTTATTTTAAAAGTTCAATTTTTTTTTAATGATATTGGGAAATGGGAGAAACAACTGTGCTTATAATTAAAAAGGACTGTCCTTATACAGTCACATTCGTTTGCGCATTATAGAAGAACCATTAGAAACCATGAAGGTAAAAAACACGACCCGTGATTAAACAAATATATTCTATAAATTGTCTTTAAATTGCTTTTAAGTTTAATCATCTGCATTTTTCCTGTAGATATTGCTCATGTTAAATAGTGTAAAATTAGGTTAGCTTTTTGTTTTAAGGATTATTATCCGGTTTGATTTGTTCGGTTAAGTTTGGTTTTACCTTCCAAGTTCCAACGTATATTATATATACTATCAAGAGTTTTACTTAAAGATTCCTGTTAAGTTCTTACACCCAGAACGTGTCTACTCTAATCTGACTCGTCGCGTTAGCAAACAAACACGTATTCATGTCTGTAAAATTTCTGAAAGCATCTATCTCTAAACATGCAACAGATCTTTGTACTTGTGTATCTATATCGAGATTAAGAGAAGTGTTTACGAACTTACGAAGTCCAAGAAAAAAGAAAGACACGAACAGCAAACAGGACGAAGAGCCGAAACTCTTGTTGTCAGATTTGTCCACGTTTAGAGAGTAAACTCAGTCTTTTTAATATATAGAAAAAGCCTGAAAAAATAGTTACGTTGAACTATAAGCCGAAATTTTTTATTATCCAAAATTAAATCAATAACGTTTAGATATTTACAGTGTGTCATATGAAACAATGTCTCGACTCCATCTGCCACTTCTCACCAGCTCTTCTATACACTATTAATCGTCTTCTGCTCTTAATCAAACCACTAACAATTTCAATATTCACGTACTAGTCATGAAACGTATACCCTTCCTTTCTCATTTTCAAGAACAACTTGAGTCCTTTCTCAATCATCTTGGTCTTGAAATACAGTTTTAAGCATTGTTGTGTACGTAACATCATTCCCAGTGAAGAATCCGAAACGCTTCTCTAGTGTTTCTCTAGCTTGAAGTAGCAAAATCATCAGTCTAGCATGGAAACGTGAGGGTCACGAATGCGGACATATATGGAAACTTAGTTTTTTAGGTTCTCAGAATAAAAGAGAATTTTAAAATCTTCTTTAATTTTCTGATTCCGGTACAAGTGATTGACCAGAGAGTTCACCAAACCGGCCTTCTTTGTTTCTCATAAGCTCACCAAACGATATACAACTCTCTGTTTGGTTATAATTATGTCTTCTCGTTATCTTGATCTTAACATGATCCGGTAATCTCAAAGTATACCGGTCTTCTTCCTCCGGTTTATTCCTAACTATAGAATGACCCGTGGTCTTCGATCTCGAGAATTTATCCGGTAAGGACTCCATCTTCCTCTCATTATTACCACTATTACTGCTCTGTCTCGACAACAAAGCCTCGTTGGACGTTGATGTCTTCTCGTGGTTCTCGTGCATGACTTCAATGATCAACTCTCTGATGTTTTCAGGCGCTGTTGGATCTAAATTCCGTCGACAAACCGGGCATGTTTTGTTAGATTCAAGCCAACGGTCGATGCATTCTTGATGAAAAACGTGGTAACAAGTTGTCAAGAGTCGGAGAAGGATGTGTTCTTCTTCGAATTCAAGAAGACAAATGGCACATTCGAGTCCTTGTTTTTCTTCTCGAAGATCTTTGACTGAAGAGAATGGGAATAATGGGAAAGATTTGATGATTTCTGGCTCTAAACCGGGGTTAACCGGTGGTTGATTAACGGTTTCTTGTTGTGACTGGATTTGATCTTCGTGTGGTCCGTTGCGGTGAAGGCGATCCCAAGCTTGTGAGAGAGTGTTGAAGAAGCATCTGCAGCAACATAGAGCGAAGAAACCGATGAATAAGACGAGGAGGAGGATTACAACGAGTTGTGGGTTATTGTAATGATGCGGTGGATGAGATTCAAGAGTTGTGTTTGGTACGATCGGTTTCGGCAGCATTGAAGAAAAGAGAATAAGAGATTGTTTATCTCTGCTGTAGGAATTCAAATATTGGAATGTTATTTGATTTTTCAATTTATATTTTGTTACTTAAGTTTTTTTTTCTGGATGGAATATGGTAGTGTTGAATATATTTTTTGTATGGTTGGAATGTGAGTGTGTAGTGTGCTTAGGATTGGTTTACTTAATTTAGAAACGAGTTTTGTTAGTTGTGTGTGTGTGATTTGCATTAACTTGCATTGAACGAGTCTTTAGTTTTTTAATAATTATAACCTGTTCATTTATTATATTTTTCAAATAATCTGACGGTATTTATTACAAAATACAAAATAATCTTTACTTATTTTAAGTGTTTCTATTTTACATTTACTAGATCCGTTGTCCGCGCTACGCGCGGAAATTCTGGGTATTAATTTTTTTTCAAATGAAAAATTGTTGGAAAATAAAAGTCTTTTGTTTGTTTTGCTAGTTTTCCTTGAAATAGTTCTTTAGGACAGATATTTTTGATGTTTAACAGTTTTAAATTTAAAATCGTTGTAAAATATAATTTATTTGTTCTGTTTAAATATCTGATGTTTAACTAATTTTTCGCTGAATATTTTTTGTATACTTAATACATTTTAATTTGTTGTGTGCGAATGTGATAAGTAAAATGAATGATGGATACAATATGTGTGTTATAATATTAGTATTAAATGTAAATTTAAGAAAATTTCCAATATTTGAGAACTGTAAAAGTTGACCCTTGGATTTTCTTTTTAAAGTTGTGAAATAATATCTTATTCATTTCAAGTGGGTGATTTTATCTCGAAAAAAATAATACTTTATACTCATTTACTTTAAAAGTTGTAAATACATTTTATGATTGAGATTTTTTCTAATAAATCAAAAACCAGTCTCATACTGACTTTTTTACGGTAAGTTTCTAAAGAGTTATTGTAGTTTGTGAAGTACACTAAAACCTTTATATATTAATAATGTTGGGATTTTGAAATTTTATTAATTTATAGAGATATTAATTCACCAAAAGTTTCCTTATTCAATTTTTTTTTTCTATTTTTTCCATTTTTTATTTATAAAGTCAAAAATATTTGATTTTCGCAGAGGTACATTTAAATATTAGAAATTTTAATTTTATAGATTTTTATTATTTGATTTGGTGTATATTGTTATGTTTCATAGAACTGTTATGTGGTTTTCGATATAACTTAACTAAATATTATCAAAATATGTTAATATTTTTATTGTAAACTATATCATAACCCGTCCGACTGGGCGGGTCTTTGTTTTTAAGGTATATATAAATATTTTTAAAATTACAATCTTACGGTTCCAATTTTACTAAGTAATAGTATACTGTTTAAACATTGTATTTCATCATTGAATTGTGTAACAGGACGTCGGTAAAATGTTGTGACCCGTAAATATTTTAGTAATATTTATAAAGTTTTTTTGACTAAATTTGGTGAAAAATTATATACACTAAACAATTTAGTCAAATTTTTAAGTTCATTTTTAATGAAGAATTGGAATGCTTGTATATTACTGTTAAAAACTTTTAACAATAGTCAATATAAATTATATAAATAAAATATATATTATTCTTGATTTATTCCACATACATTTAAAACACGAGTACATATATGTATACATAATTTTCAGAAATAAAATAATATCAAGGATAGAAAACCCAAAAACAATAATAATGGTACTTTGAGCCGCAGTAATTTTTAGTTTAATAAGTAAGTCCATTAGATTTGTAGGCTATCCTTGTTTCTAATCATCTTAATTTTAAATACTTACTATTCATGTTTCTAAACACTTAATTTTTGTACTTCAGCTTTAATAATATAGATATAAAACCAACAATGTAATGTTAGATTGTATTTATATAAAACTATATATAGATAGATTATTAATTTATGATTTTAGTGGGACTATATATTTACATGGCATTTTAAAAAATATTATTATCTTATTATTTTGTCTATTTTTGTAATATTTTACATTGGCCTAAGTTGAGACCGGTGAAATTTATTATTTTATAGAGATTATTAATTTATAGAGTATTAATTTATAGAGGTTCTATTGTAGTTATTAAAACTGTGCGGTAGACACAAATAGATTTGTATATATGTGTACGGTGGATTTTTCTTTTGGGAATACCGTAAGTAGCTTTATGTGGCTAGAACTGATTATGTTTCTGACCAGTTTATGAGTTTATCTTAAAGGTACCGTTATATTTTTGTTGTGTTAATATGTTAAAAGAATTTTATTAGAGGTTTTGTGTTAAGGTTAGTTTATTTTTTTTGGGTTTTTTTGGCATTGGGAAAGTTATTTTAAATATTGCATAGTAACTGAAATTGTCTCTATTACAGAAATTTTAAATAGAAAATGTTTAAATGTTTTTTTTATTTTGGGCTGTTAAGTCAGAGATAATAAAAAATTAGTGTTTACATGACCTATGTTTATGCATTGTTGACGTAAAACTTCATTGATTTATAAAGTTGGGGACATTGGTAAATAAATAAAACACCTCAATGCTCCCGTTATTATTTAAAGTCATAGTAATTTTTACACCAATAAAAATAGTTTAAAGGGACAACTAAAGTTTAAAATAAAACTAAGTGGGGTTGACGGCTGCAGAACGCAGATTTGCTTCACCAAGTCCTGTCACTTGAAGAAACATATCGGTTGGAAGGAAAGTGTAAGATTTTCTAAGCTTCCTGCAGCAACTGGTGCTTGAAACAAAGGACCAGCCATTTCTTTGGAGGAGACCTACAAACAAAATCAGCTTCATTTGTCTTGAGGAGGACAATAGTGATAACCTTAATTAATTCTATTTTGAAACAACATAAGAGTACTAAGTATTTTTTTAAAATGGGTGTTACATGGTTGACTTACCTGTTTATATAATCTTTGAACACAAGGATAGTGTTGTCAAAGTAAAAATGGGTCGATTGGGTTGAGTTAAGAAAGAGATTTCCTACATAAGCCCAAGTGTTTCTTAGATTATGTTACAAACTAAAATATGACAGGTTGAGGAATTTAAGTTGGCAGGAAAAGTGTACCAGATNGTTACATGGTTGACTTACCTGTTTATATAATCTTTGAACACAAGGATAGTGTTGTCAAAGTAAAAATGGGTCGATTGGGTTGAGTTAAGAAAGAGATTTCCTACATAAGCCCAAGTGTTTCTTAGATTATGTTACAAACTAAAATATGACAGGTTGAGGAATTTAAGTTGGCAGGAAAAGTGTACCAGATACATGTTTATTTCTTAAAGATTCAGAACCATACTCCAAATATTTTTTGGATTAACTGTAGTCAAAAAACCCCCTAAACTTTGCAGCATCATCGTCCTATAGAAACAACAACAGAACTGGAATGAGAGATTAATTAGTTTTATTTTAAAAAAAAACTTTATGGGTAGCATTTTAAAATATTGGTACGTAAGGTCTTACGGTTCAATGAGAGACTGACCTCAATCATGTGGTCGCTTCAGAGTTGTTCAGGTCAGAGTGTGCACATAACGGATTTTCCCAATCACATCTGAATGGAAGCATTTTTAATAATGAAAACATAGGTGTTTTAGGATGAGGCAAGAGTAAAGCTGTTCTTACATCAGGAAGCATTCGGTACCAGGTATCAAGCCGTAGCTACTGGAGACCACTTTGCATGTGTTTTACCAATTCCCTTAACCGGATGAGCTCAGTCTCCTACATAAGAGGATGCAAGTGTTTGGTTCATCTGAAGTTGTACAGTTGAGAAGTTGAAAAAATAGTACCTGACCAGGGCCGAATCATGATATCAATATGTTATGATAGCTCGGCGTGATAGGATTATCAGCAAGTTCAGGGAAGAACTCTTGGCTGCGGCTGAAAGAATTTTTAAGTTTTTAGCTTTGAGGTTGAAAGAGATTCTTTAACCAACTCACTTTCATTTAATAGCCACATCAACTCCTTCGTTAAAACTACGAGAAAAGAGAAAGAAAAACAACATTCTTTAATGAGAGAAAGAGAAACAACATTCTTTCCTGATAGAATGTAACATTACCTTTGTACGTCCTTCACCCTCTGGCACATTTTGCAAGGAGTTTGAAAACAATGGTGTTCTTTTCATTTGGCTGGTCGTTCTCTATGGTCAGAGAGAAACATATTAGCTGAGAGACACACACACACATATATATAATTGCTACAGATAAAGAATCAAATGTCACATATAATATCTTCTTACCAGATAAATACTTGAAGAGCTTAGGATCTGCAGTTTAAGACTCGTCATCAGTTTTTCTTGGGTAGTCTGCTCTTCATCTACAAAGAAAAAACATTGAAATGTATTTAATTCTTAATAAAAAAATGAATCATATAATACAGTTAACACAAACTTGTTTCTTACGTACCTCTTCTGATTTGCTAAATCTTGTACCCACGAAAGTCATGGCATCAGATAGCTTACCAGTGGTTGATTTAGCTGTAGAAGAATAGTCTTGTGCGGATTTGGTGGAAGCAACCTTTGATGAGGCAGTCATGGAAGCCTTTAGCTTCTCGAAGAAAGGCTAGAGTTCTGCCTTTTGTGAATACTTCTTCTCAAGTCCTGATACGAATTACATTGTCTCTTGGAAGTCTCTTTCTCTATTTCTGTCACTGACATGGTCGATTTTGAGCTTGAGCTGGCGGTTTCAGATGGAGAGGCCTCATTCTCTTTGGCATGTGAATTCAGCAGCGCCTACATGAGTAAAGTTTTTAATTTAGGGAAGGTACGAAAGTCACTATCAACATAATGTATCCATATTAGCTCAAGCACACATATCTGAGCAACATTATCTCAGAGACCAAGCTGATTGAACTGGATGCTTTCCTCGTGAACCAACTTGAATCTAATACAGTGACAATGAGAAACCCAAACAACATTACATACTGAAGCACACAAGGAGGGATAAGGGAATCAAACCTATTTGATCGCCAAAAGATTGCACACCCGTCAACAGCATTAGCCGT